TTTACTTTTAAACACTCAAAAGGAATGAAACACGTTAATTTAGGAGAGGAAATTATTTGGGTACTTTTAAATGAAATTGTTTTCCTTTACAAAAAAATTTTATCTTGGGGCATAAATCGCTTTAATGTGGTGAAACTATGAGTGTTGTTGGAACATCGTGATATCGACCCTTAGCCACACCCTAATGGACATGTTTGCGCATGTTTCAAGCCCTTTTTGTTACCAAGTCGGTTTTACAACCCTCCAAAAAGTTCTTGTATTTATATTCAAGACACACAACGTTATAAATCAATCGGTAACGAATTTGTTTTATAAATTAATTAATTTTTTTATTTATTTATGAAGATGCTTAAAAAATCATCGACAGATGGTCATACGATGACGTTACGTGACGGTATTTTACGGTGAAGGTCACCTCTTTCGCTGAGGTAAACAAGAAAACTGGTCTGTTTCCAGTCCCAACCCATGTTGTTGTATATTAAACTTTATGTGTTAAAGAGATTTCTTCTCTACAAGTTAAGAAGCTTATATTTTTTTGCATTAATGAAATCGGATAATCTCGTGTTATGAAACTTCAACGTTAGAATTGCCCATAAAAGGACACAAAAGACAGAACTCCATACAAGGCCGATGACTCACCACCACTTATTATGCCGCCCACCCATGAATTAAATTGCGTAAAAAATAAATGTTTTATGTCGCGTCTAATACGAGCATAAAATAAGCGAGATTTGCATGTGGTGGAACAGAACAGGAGAGATTGTTAATTGTAAATGGAATAAAACGTTTTTATTATTTATGATCGACAATTGACGAAGAACGCAAAACTATAAAACTAGGTAATAATAGAAAATTTTAGAAAGGAAGTTGGAAAGCTTTAATGGAATAATTATTTAAACGATTGTCGATGTTCAAATGAGAATCATAATTGTAGTAAATTAGTAATAACAAAAAAATTAATACTTTTTTATATCAGAATAGAATCAACATATTAAACATTAAAGATACAGGTGTACTTAATAAATTAATGAGATCACTAATGAGATCTCTTCTTATCCTTTAGAAATAATTTCCAGTACTGGCAAGCACTTTGGTCTTATCGAAATTTGTGGTGTATCTCTATTAGTTGCAATGTTCTGCAACTGACGACTGTTGGATCTTATTCAGTTGGACATTACACTCATGCTCCTTACAACTGTTAGTTTGTCTTTAGCCATCGGAATTTTACTCAATATATCGTACCACGACATCGTTCATAAGCTTCCATGACTGGTGTTAGTAGAAATAAAACTAAAACTAAAAACTTCTGGGTTATGCCGTGCGTCATAGACGTTAATATTCAGGTTTTGTACCTTTTATTTGAAAATGAAGTGACATCCTTCTCGAAGATCTGAGAGAATATCTGAAAAACGATATAAAAACTTATTATGCCACTGCTGAGAGAGAGTGGATGTGGATGGGTTTCGAGAGAGAGTGCAGAAACAAAACAAGTGACAGATTGGGACTATCGAAAGGAGTTTCAGCACAGGCAAAGATCTGACCTAGTGGAAGTATCAACTTCAAAACCTCTAAAATCGCTGCAAAGAAGGCCAGAGCCACGTTATGTCCCAAAGATGCTTGATTGGGTTCAGGTCTGGACTACAAGCTGGCCACTTGAGGACTTGACTGTTAACATAATTTAAATATTCAGTAACAATATGTGCCGCATGTAGCCTCGCATTATCCTGCATAAGAATGAACCCATCGTCAATGTAAGATGCAAAAGGTTCTAAAATGTTTGTTATGTATCGTTCAGAATTCAGACGTCCACCATCAACGATAGAATGTTCTGTGCGAGCTGTTAAAGATATTCCACCCCATACCATCACTGAACCGCCTCAGTATAATGTGGTTTCTCGAATGTTACATGTGGAATATCTTTCATTTGGTCTTCTGTACACTCTTGGACAACGATCAGAACTTACAAGGCAAAAACTCATCCGTAAATAACACCTGCTCCTAATCATGGATTTCTCAATCCACGTGCCTTCTTGGAAAAGCCAATCTGTTTCTTCGGTGGTTTGCAGATAATCTGCAACCAGTAGCTGCTGCCCGAGGTCGTAAATTTTGAGTACGAAGTGTTCTTCTTATGGTAACTTGACTAACAGCAGTGCCATGAACCTCGCTTAGTTGTATTTGGAAGCTTCGTGCAGTAGTGAACCGTTCCCTAAGTGCTCGAATCATCAAAAATCGATCCTCCACCGCATTTGTAGCTCGTGGCCTGCCTTGGCCACGTCGTCTAGCATAATCGTTGTTCTCTACAAATCTTTGCAGAACCTTCATTGGACAAAGTTACAATTTGAACACATTCATCACGATTTAAATTTCGTCTAGCACGCTCCATTATGTATTGCACGAATGACAGTTGTCTTATCAATTGGAAACAATGCTTACGTTTATTTTAGAAGTGAGGCTTATTTACTTAAAAACAAGCCCCTCATGAAAAGCTGCTATGATTTCAAAATTAAATAAAGAAGACGGACAAATCCTATACAAATGAAAAGTGGCACCCTTCTCGAAGATCTGAGAGAATATCTGAAAAAGGGATATAAAAACTTATTATGCCACGGCTGATGAGATGTGAATGGGTTTCGAGAGAGAGTGCAGGATTAAAACATGTGACTCTAAAATCGCTGCAAAGAAGGCCAGAGCCACGTTTGGAGAAGATTTCTATAATCAAATTGAGAATACGAAATCGAATGCTGAATTCTGGTAATTAGACAGAATCAGATTGAGTAGTAGCAGTAGTAATAGCAGCAGCTTCAAAACTACGAGAAAAGAACAAAGTGTCTTCAAGAGATACAGAAGAAACACATTTAAATCGAAAGAGTGGTGAAAACAATAACAACCCAAATGTATGTATATATATTCGTTTTATACCATATTCCTTTGCAGTCCCTTGAGGCCAGGTTGCTTTGAATCCCTGATACCCAAGCAGGTTTTTTGACGTCTCTTGGATCTTTGCATTTCAGTCTGCATCATCTTCATCTTGAGTATGTCAGTATTCTGTTCATTTTGGTCTTACCGGCTCCTCTTCTCCACAAGTTCACTTCGATTTTCTGTAACCGGTCCTCTAATTGATTGAATAGTCATCAGGTAATACCACAAAATGAAATTGAAGTATAAAATTTCTGGAAATCATATTCTGTTCCAAAAATCATTGCTAAAAATGAATGAAAGGTTACAGTGTTGTAAAACTATAACAATTATTAATTCAGAAACAAATCATTGCAACGAGGTGCTTCCAAGAATCGCGGTTAAAAGAAGATAATTGAAATTTTGAAGCTAGAGGTTGAATGAAGGACTAACAAATCGCGAACTTGGTAGAAGGTTTGGCTCATACAACGGTCGGTAGGGTTCTGCAGAGATTTGTAGAGACCAACAATTATGTTAGACGACGTGGCAAAGGCTGGCCACGAGCTACAAATGCATTGGAGAATCGATTTTTGATGCTTCGAACACTTAGGGAACGATTCACTACTGCGCGAAGCCTCCAAACACAACTAAGCGAGGTTCATGGCACTGCGGTTAGTCAGATACCATAAGAAGAAGACTTCGTACTCAAAATTTACAACCTCAGGCAGTAGCTACTGGTTCCAGATTATCTGCAAACCACCGAAGAAACAGATTGGCTTTTCCAAGAAGGCACGTGGATTGAGAAATCCATCATTGGAAGCAGGTGTTATTTACGGATGAGTCACTGTTTTGCCTTGTAAGTTCTGATCGTTGTCCAAGAGTGTCCAGAAGGCCAAATGAAAAGTATTCCACATGTAATATTCGAGAAACCACATTATACTGAGGCGGTGCAGTGATGGTATGGGGTCGAATATCTTTAACAGCTCGCACAGAACATTCTATCGTTGATGGAGGACTTCTAAATTCTGAACGATACATAACAAACATTTTAGAACCTTTTGCACCTTACATTGGCGATGGGTTCATTCTTATGCAGGATAATGCGAGGCCACATGCGGCACATATTGTTACTGAATATTTAAATTATGTTAATAATATTCAAGTCCTCGGTGGCCAGCTTGTAGTCCAGATCTGAACCCAATGGAGCATCTTTGGGACATAATAAAACAGAGAATTAGAAGTCAGCATTCACCACCTAACAGCTTAGATGAGCTGCGACAAAGTCTTATTCGCGTATGGGAAGATATCCCTCAAGATATCATCAGATCTCTCATTGAAAGTATGCCACGACGATGTCAGGCTACAATAACAGCCAAAGAGTTCTTTGTGTTCGTAACAATAATAATAATTCTGTTTATGTATTCTATTTATGTTTTTCAAAATGTATGATAATTTTGACTTTAATTATAATAAATCGAAATATATAAGTGATGCGTTAATTTTGGGATTAAGTGTAGTTCTGTTGCTACCTGAGTTTGATGAAGAATTCTATGTAGAGTACTCAAAAATTAAAAGATAAAACTCACTATCTTGGTCAAAATACAAATCGAGATAAGAGATCTGCAGCATCAATACGTAAAGTCTCATATGTTTTAAGATAGTGCAAATGTCTTTTGTAATGTACAAACGAATTATTGATATTATAATTAGATAATAATAATAATAACTCAGTCTGATAAGGTGCAACTTTATAAATTTATTAATACTCATAAAAATAAATTAGAATGAATAAACATCAAGATGTAGATAAGTAGAAGTGCTTATACTTCAGTGAGTAAATTAAGTAAATATTGTTGTAAGTTTCAATGATGAAAGATTAGAATTTGTGAAACTTGTATTGATTGCATGTTTGCAGAAAAATAAATTATTTCATTAGAATAGGATATTTGGCAGCAAATAAAATCTCTACTAAGTCACTTTAGGAATAATATTTATAAATGAAATAGTTAATAAATGATTTAATTTTATTTTTTGCGTTTAAATTCAAATGAATGTTTCGAGAACTCTACCGGGACGCTTAAGTACTGAAAAAGACGTTATACGCGACGCTATGCGCGGTAGGGATTGAGCTGTAGGAGATGAGCGAGTTCGTTCCATTCTGCATTGATTCCTAGTCGAGTGAGCGAGCCATTTTTGTTTCTTCCGAAATCAAATCAATCTTGTTCGTTTTTTAATACATATTAACTAAAAGAAAATGAGGGAAATCGTCCATGTTCAAGCTGGCCAGTGCGGTAACCAAATTGGATCGAAGGTGAGTTAATATTAACAATTTTTGTATTAACTAGCCGGCTTTGTACGTTGCGTTCGTTGGCATTCGGCCAGCGCCTTTTTCCTCGTGGCTAAGAGCTGAACGTTTGAGGTTAAACCGGGTTAAAGTTTCCGGGTTCGACCACAATTATTAAAGAAAATCCCTTTTTTCAATTCCACATCGATTTTTTCCTTAAACAATTTAATTTAATTACTATACGTTCAGTTATGTAACCATTTTTTTTTCAAACACGTTAGGTGTGTTCATCAATTTCGAAACTTAAATTTAATTACTGATATTGCAACCGTCATTTATTTTTTTTTTTATTTCGGCGAAGTGTTTGTGATTATATATAAAATGAATCGATTTTGTTATCTTTAACGGAATCGATATTGATCTTTATTCCTAGTAATTTTGTTGGTTTAAAAAAAATAATGCAACGTCCATTTTGAATTTGCCGACAAAAGTGACCGTTAAAACTTATTACAGTAGTAGTTTTGTAAATAATGCTGATAAAACGAGGTTTGAATTGAATTTGGCGATAAGCGTCAGCGTAACCGTTCGTTTTAACCGTTAGAATTCAAAAGCAGATGCGATAGGTCAAGAGAAACTGAACGATGGAAATCTATGTGACTCATTTATGTACATATATATCTCTTAGTCAGAATATAATAATAAAAAAATTAAGTATATATGTTTTATGATTAATTTTTTTATTTGATTATAGAGAGAAAAGATTTTTATTAACAACAATTATTGTTATATATATAGAATAGGGCTAAATGTCATTTCAATTATCATATTATACAGTGTTCATCAAAAAGTTAGCAACACCCTATTTTTCGGATTCGTTGCATCTACGTTTCTTTTTTTTTTATACGGGATATATTGATCTTTCGATCTAAAATATTTTCACGACGGTCGTCATTTCCGCTCCACCGGAAGTAGACCACAAAATCAGTACATATTTTAAAAGATGATAAAAAAACTGTACGTCACTGTACAGGCTGGTTCAAATCTGATGTCCGACTACTATGATAATTTTCGTTTTCTTAATTCGCCTATTAAATTCGTTATTTTTTCTGATTACAGAAATATAGGGTTTAACAGGTCAATTTCTTATTGTTTTAGAATAAAGCTAAAAATAAACTTGTTTTTAGTGTTGTTAAAAAAAAATTAAATTTACAGTTTCCTGTAAATTATAACTAAAAATTAAAAAAAACATATTTCTGATATTTGAATCAACTACATTTGTTGAACTATTTAATTTATATTTGTTTTACACAAAAGTTGGAATAGATTGCATTATTTTACATTTTTTATTAATATTTAATTTTATTATTAAATGACTTAATAAATTATTGATAGATGGCACTCTTTTTTTTTAATTTCAATTAAACATAGCAACATTTGTTGTATTCAAAAAGTTTCGGAAGTGTCGAATTAAAAATCCTGTTTTTTTAATACGGATTACGAAAAGTTTAATATTTTAGAAAATAAAGTAAATTTTATATAAATTTTTAGTAGAATAGTTTTTAGTTATAGTACCGTAATTTACAGGGAACTGTAAATGTAATTTCTTTGACGACACTAAAAAAAAAATTTATTTTTAGCTTTATTCTAAAACAATAAGAAATAGACCTATCTAACCCCATATTTTTGTAATCAGAAAAAAACAACGAATTTAATAAGCGAATAATCAGTGATTGTTTCCATTTAAAAAAACGAAAATTGTCATAATATCTGAAAATCTAAAACCGAAATTTTTTTTTGATCATATAATGTCTTAATTATAATACTCCACCTATAGTAATAACCAAGATAATTGCACTTGCTGGTTTTACAATATTTTCAATTTTGGCCTCTAGAGGAAAAACAAAAGACAATAGCGTTTTGAGGTTTTAGGCATTAGCAGTTTCTCGAAAAACGAGATCATGACATGTAAGCTACTTTTTTTCTAACTCTTATAGTTTCCGAGTTAGCCTATTCGGACATCGAATTTGAACCAGCCTGTACATGCAGTGATA